GGAGTACATTACCTCTTCTAGAGAAGATATTGATCATTACAAAAGACTAAAAAGCAAGAGCAGAAAGATTTAACTAGCCAACGGGCTCGTAAACTGTTCGACTTAGTATAAAAATGTAGGCCTGATTCTTCCAGACGAAGATCTATTGATCTAAAAGAAAGATAAAGGAACTTTGACTCTTTTTCTCCTTTCAGTGATGTCACAGGTTTTTTCATGTGAACAAGCCTTGAAAAATGGTGGAAGCAATGGGAAAGGTTGATTTTCAAAATGATGAAAATTATCCATATTAGCTTAATTGCCTAAGATAAAATGATTGTATATAAACGATGAATGTTACATGTAAGACATTATTTTTCATCATGTTTATAATAAATCTTCAAATAGCTCAATTCAATGGTCTTTTGTTCATTTTATTATGAGGTCTCAATGTACTCTTAAGTTGGAGCATAAACTCTTGTAATTTGATTTTGTTAGGTTTATTGAATTAAATATTTACAAACTTTATATTTTTTTAATAATATTGGTACTTTTTTTTTAATTTTGGATAGAAAATACACAAAGTAAACTTTTTTTTAATTATATTAGTACGTTTTTTAAAATTAGATAGAAAATACACACAAACTAATTTTTTATTAAATATATCATTACTATTTCTCTCCTGCCGTATCAGATGAGAATGAAATTTGAACGAATAAATTCACTTATGCTAATATAGTTAATAAAAACCTAATTTGTGTATTTCATGTCTAATGTTGAAAGAATGTGCTAATATAATTAAAATGCATAAATTTTGTGATTATTTAATTCAATAAGCTATTTTGTTAATATAGATTGTATTGAAGATTTTCATATCGGTATCCAACTAGACAATGGATGTTGGTTTTAGGTAGATCACATTTAAAACTCTATTTGTATAAAAATTATGTGTGAGACCCGCTTAAAAATTCTTTGTGTGTAACTTTAAAAGAAAAAAAAAAAAACTAAATTTTTGGTGTGTTGAGGAGAGAAAATTCTAGTAGCTCGTAGACCTCGTTTAAAGTTACAGAAATACCTTATATATATTCTTGATATTTTGTCTAATTAAAATATATTTTTTTATAAAAAAAAGAATGTTATATATATTAATACTCAAATCTACATGTAAAAAGAAGAAATTAAAAACCAAATTACACATATGAATTGTTTTTACCAATGAGCATGAGCTTAGTGATATTAAAAGGGACGATAAAGTATCAAGTATCATGCTCATTTTTTGTAATTTCGTGTCTGATAAAATTTGATCACTATGAATTTCCTAAAACTTTTTCAATTTTTGAGTTTGACAAGTTTGCATACATGTTGAAAAAAAAATCCTAATTCATTTATCATCGGCACGAGCTAATGCATTTGTTGTATATTGTAGAACAAATCCTTATTATCATTTAAAATTATGCATACAAAGTGGGTGTGTTTTAGCCTTGTATTTGCAGTCTATTTTTGATAATATTTTTAACCTTTTTTTTTAAATTGTTTTTTTATTTTACAATATATGCAACTAAATGCTTATCTTTTCTAAATTTTTCCATAGCGCTCTTCTCCAATATTATATTTTTACGTCCCAAATGAAAACCAACCATGAAACCAAAAATAAACTAAATATAATCTAGTAAATAAATAAAATAATAATCCTTTTGTGTGTGTGTGTGTGTGTGTGTGGAGGGGGGTTCGAAAAGTTTTATAATACTCAAGGAGTAACTAATATACGTCATTAGTTACTACATGAATTCACTTAAAGGAGAGAGATAGACACATAAAATTATATCTAAACCTACCAAAAGTGATAAGAAGATTTTCACGTTCGCTTAATTTTTTTTAAATTTTCTCTCTTTTGTTTCTCTCTCCTTTTTTTGTGTTTATCTCTTTCCTTCAAAAGGAGCCATGAAGTAATTACTCGTATATGTCATTAGTTACTCTTTGAATGTTATAAAATTTCTTGGTATGGTTCTATCTGTGTATAGCACTTTGACTCTCCCACCTCTCTCCATAATCCTAATATATTTTTTGAAATTTTTTGAAATATTATGTCCTTTTGATCAATTATTTTGACCATAAAAAATTATTTTAACCAAAATGCACCTAAGTGAAATGCAAAAAAAAAAAAAATCTATAAACTTCAAAAATGGAACATGCACATAATCTAACTTTTTTTTTTTTAGTAAAAGACATTTTGGTAAAAAAAAAATCATGATCGAAAAAATTGATAAAAATGACATAGTGAATATTTAAAAAATTTCAAGAAAAAATTGAGCCATTTAACCTTAAAAAAAATTCTTTAGACCAATAATGACAATGCTTGATTTTGTAGTATTTCATTCCATACCATGGACTCTTTTTTTTTCTTTTTTCTTTTTTTTTTGTACATCTATCTACATTGATTTGTACTATGTGGGAGTGCCAAACCTTTAATTCTAACTATTTAAGTGTTCAAGTTTTGATTTTTTTTTTATTTGAGTTTTTTTAGTCGTATGAGATTGGAAAATGCTTATGTATAAAAATAAATTATCACGTGGTATTTTTAATTGACAAATGGAAAAAAATGAGTCCCATTTGAATTATTTATAAAAAAAAATTGAATTTAAAAAAAATGCAATTGGAATGCATAACCTTTTATTATGTTTATGTTTGAGTGCCCAATGCTTGAATTTTTTTCTATTTGAGTTTACTCAATCATTGAAGATCGAAAAATTTTGATATGGTCGAGATCCACTAACATATAATAATTTTTAAGCTGATACATGATAAAAAGTGATTCTCACTCAAATTTATTAAGGAAAAAAATATAAAAATAGCCCGTAAGAATTTTTTTAAAAAAATAAATATTAATTATTATTTGTTGAATGAACTCCGATAATTAGTCGACCAATTTTTTAAAACACTTCCAAAATATTATTATCTAAACATTTTCTTTGTCAAATTCAAGAGTTTTAACTTTGAATCATCTAAATAATTTGAGTTCATTCGGCTAATAATAGTTGATTTTGATTTGATTTTATTTTTTGTTAATTCTTCCAACTATTACATTTGATAAAAGTTTTATAATTTTTTTCTCAATAAGTTATATCATGACTCACTTTTTTCACAGATCAATTAAATTCTGTCTTGTTTTAGTAAATTTTGACTACCTCAGTATTTTTCAATCTCTAAGCAAGCTCAAAAAAAAAAAAAAAAATCAAACATTAGACGATCAAATAAAAAATAATCAAATTAAGATTAAGCACTCAAATTATTATAACTAACACATGGCAATTCATCCTAAATACATTAATATTTTTCAATCTCAGATGATAGAGGAAACTCAAATAAAAAAAAAAAATTCAAATATTGGGCAATCAAACAAGAAAATAATAAAAAATTCCACTCAAATTATTTTCACTTACATGTTGCAGTTTATTCCAAATAAATTAGTATTTTCCAATCGAAGATGAACGAATAAACTCCAAAAAAAAAAAAAAAGAAATCAAGAGGACTTAAATAAATAGAATTAAAGATTAAACTCTCTCAAACGTAATAAAAATAAGAAATTGTACGCTCAAATTATATTGTTTTCCACAACCTCCAACACTGAACCTGGACATGCCTCTGTACAAATAGTAAATGTGACCGACCTATCAGGTTCTTTTGTAACAGAAAAACAAAACGACGTACCATTTGGGAAACCCATGATATGGCTAGGTTCATGAAGAATCCAGCAACTTAATGGTTCTTCCATAAATTGGATTTAGCCAATAATAATAGGCTTATCTCTCAAAGTTTTTGTTAATTAAATTTCTAATTATGGCTTTCTAGAAGGTTAATAGTTGGATAAAATTGTGGGGAAGTAATTAATAATAATTGCCTTATGCCCCCAAATTTCAATGGCGTTTGCCTGAATCCATCTTTAATTTGCATAAATGCTCATTCTACAATTTTTTTTTTTGTCATTTTCTTTGATCTTCATGCCCTTAAAACGGAACAAAAGTATGGTTGTTGTGTACAAAATATCAAATATCAAACTTTCTCATTTTCGCAAAAACGTATCCTTATAAGCAATAAAATCTTCGATTTCTAGCCTAAAAAAAAAATCTTTATTTCTTTCTAATTTCTTGCTTCCATTTTCACTCAAGCCAGCAATTGTGGAAGAAAACCTTAACAGAAAATCGATTCCCGCCGCTGCGGAAGGGGTGGCTCCACCATGCGAATCCCACAGATTTTATTGAGATTGCACAGTAAATATTGCATTTTTTTTTCCCGTTGCAATTAAACGGTATTCTAGAACCAACACGAGATTAATACCAGTTTTTTTGTTTACTCGAAGATAAATTAATATGTCAAAACTAGAGAATTCATACAAAATTTTGAATTTCTGTGCATAGAAGATTTTCAAACTCTAAATTCAATTCATAAAAGAAAAATTAATTGTCAGTTTTTTTATTCAATTTTTGAATTCATGAAAAATTTATAAGTTTGAAAATCCAGTTTTTATTCATACGAGATTAATTTTAATTTTTAAAACAATTAAAATATTTAAAATAATGTTTTAACTATTTTAATTAATGATTAATACGTCAATCGTTAAACATAATAAAAATATATATTTTGAAATTAATAATATAAACTTTATTTTATTATAATATAAAAAATTAAAATATAAAACCATAAAATTAATAATTACTATTATTTAAGTATTTTAAAATTTCTCAGCAAATAATCTCATTTCTTTTTTCCTTTTTCAAAAATCTGACGAATAAAAAACTATTGAGATTCCTGAATCCTTGAAACTTGGGCCCCAATTTTTGAACTCCCAACAACCCCTCAACTCCCCCCAATTTCTCTCTCTTGAGAAAAAAACTCTTTCTCTTCTGTCTCTTTATCTGCGCCTCTTATCTCTTGATCAAGTTCCACTCCATCTCGTTTCTCCACCATAAAAACCCTAGCAGAACCCTAATCCTGAAATCCCCAAATCATTTCACCACCACCAAAAAATGGCCAAAAAGAAAGCGACCCACCAAACCCAACAACCCAAAAAACAAAACCCACAAGATCAAAATCAAACCTTGACCACCCAGAAACAACCACCACCACCACCCTCTATGGAAAACCCTAATGAAATGCCTCAACAGCCACCGCCTTCCAAGGAAAACTCTGATGAAAAGCTTCAATCGTTGAAAACACTCAATGATTTGCTTGTCAAAGAAGCGAAAAAGCGCCGAGAACAAGTTGAGTCCCTGGTGAAAGCTAAGGAGGCTTTGGAGACTGATTTGGCTCTGTCTGGCAAGGAAAAGAGTAAGTTGGAGACTGAGTTGGGTAAAATCAGTGATGGGAGGGTGATTTTGGAGATAGAGAAGGGGTTGTTTTCCGTTTTTATTGAGACCCAGATGGCTCAAATGAATGGTTTTGTTACTGGTTTGGTGAGAGAGAAGAGAGAGAAAGAGAATGAAATTGGGGTCTTGAAGAGTGAGGTTAAGGGACTGATGGTGATTGTTGAGACTGAGAGAGATAGATTGAGTCGGGTTTGTCGCGAGAGGGATCTGTTGAAGAATGATGTTGATAATTGGATGAAGGAGGCAAATGTTTTAAAATGTAGAGTGATTGAATTGGAGAAGAGGGAGAGGGAGAGTGAGGAAGAGATTGGGAAACTGAAGAAACATTATGCTTTGTTGGTTAAGGAAAAGAAGGAAAGAGAGAAAGAAATTGAGGAGCTTAAAATGTTGAGAGGTTCGGCTGAGAATAATTTGGTGGAGAGAGTGACAGAAATTGAGGGTTTGAAGAAAGAGATTCAGGGGATTGTGAGGGAAAGGAATGAGATTGGTGTTGAAAAAAGTGAGCAGAAGGTGAAGATTGGTGAGTTGGAGAAAGAAGTAAGTGAACTTAATGAGATTGTATCTAGTTTGCGGAAGGAGGAGGAAGTTTTGTGCGGAAAAGTAATGGAATTGGATAAGAGTTTGGGGCAGGCACTGGAGAAGGAGAATGCAATGGCAAGGGAAATCGATGGTTTGATGAAAGAGAAGAAAGAAAAGGAGAGAACTATTGTGCGGTTAATGGAGGAAAAGGATGATGACCAGAAATATAAGGTTATGGCTAATGCTGAAATTGAGGATAAGAAAGGATTAATTCAGCAATTGTTGAGAGAGAAGGATGAGATGGAGGAAGTGAAAGTTATTAAGGAGGTTGAAATGGTGAAGCTACACAAGGAAGTGGGTCAATTAAGGGATGATATTTTTTCGATGCAAGAATCCATCAATGATCAAGAAGATAAGAACAAACAAGTAGCTTCTGAAGCTAGTCATTACAAAGGTGCTTTTGAGCAAGTAAGGCTTGAGAGGGACAATGCTCAAAAGATTTTAGATGAGGAGAAAAAGAAAGGCATGGAATTGAGGTCTAAAGTTTTGGAAATGGAGAAGAGAGTTGAAGAAACTGTGAATGAGTGTTCAAAGATGAAAAGCGAGCATGAGAGTCTGGTCAAGCAAAAGAAGGAAATGGAAAGCCAAGTTGCTTTGTTGGAGAAGGAAAAAGATTTGGTACAAAAGCGTCTCACAGAGGCAGAAGGGAAAATAGATGACTTGAGGAACAAAATGGAATCAGCTGGCGCCAATTCAGATAGAGCGCTAACCATGTTGAAGAACACTGTTGCATTGTTGTGTGAATCGAACAATGGAAAAGAAGAGATGATTGTTACAGAAAAGATGCTTGATGGTGAAGTTGAACCGTATGCAAGTGAGCTGGAAGTTATCAAGACTGCTTTTAGAAACAAGGAGACAGTGGTAGAGGACATGAAGCAGCAAGTAGCATTTCTGCAGGATTCTGTGGCAAACGCAAAGAAGAAGAACAGCCTTTTGAGTGTGATGTCTTCGGCAACTACAGTTGTTGCTGCAGCAGTCTCTCTTGCGTATGTCGCTAGAGTACGTTGATGATCAATTTTCCGTTTCTAGGCATGTTGTTTTCGTTCTAGCATTAAATCATACTTAATCAAGCTCTACTTGAGGGCAGAATTATGCGATTTTGGTACTCTTTTAACTTTCGTTTTAGATAATGCCCCTAAACTTGACATTGCAACAACAGGTGGTTTTTAACAGCCATTTTGAGTATGATGATGAATGAATATATTAGCTATTATCTTCATCTTGTTTATATGTTTTGCATGAGTTTAGGTTGCTCAACGTCTCTAATTTGTGGGAAATGTTCGATCACACTCTAGCACAATAAGGAGGGCATGTTTTGGACGCCATTGCGCTCTACTATAACTGTAATGGTTTTGGTCAAGCTTGTTTGATTGTCTTTAAACTTTAAGTAAATATCCTTCTTGGCAAAATGTTTTCATTTGGCTCTTGGATTTCTTCACAACGGGGGAGCTGCTTTCTCCTACCTTAGATAATGCTTGGACTGCTTTTCAGTTAAGAGTTCTAATGTACCTCATTCGTTGTGGTTCGAATTTCATGTTGACACAATATTGTATCATGAGAAATCCAGTGATTACATTCAATGGAAACAAGATCCTGGATTGTTTCCATAGTTATCCAAATATCGCGGGTAGGAGAATGCAGCTAAGCTATCAATTGCTTTGATTGACTATTACTGTTATATTTTAGCTTTTTTTTTTTTTTTGACATATATCTTTTTGAATTTATGTTGCCATAGAGGCATGTCATTCTATTTCAAGGAATTAGAAATGTCTCTTTTTGTTAGAAACTATAATAAATTCACTTCTAATCGTTTTCCTTTTCCTGAACAACACTGCTCTCAAGACTAAGACTATTATTAGTCTACTCTTCATTTGTGGTGCCAATGCTGTGGTAGTTATACAGCTCACCTGTAATATTATACTAAGCTAAGCATGTTGAGGAACAGGGTAGTGAAGATGCAGATAAGTGGGATTTGGGAACCCCTTTTTCTTAATAAAAGTGCTGTTATGCCGGTTATTTAGGTTGGATCTGGTGTATGAATCGGTGTTTTTTTGTTCTATTTTATTCTTTGCATTCCACACTTCTAACCATAAGATTTTGCGTTGGGGTTTCGAAATTATTGCAAAAAAATTAGTGCCTTATCTTTTTTCAGAAAAGAAAAAAAAAATTTAAGCCTTCTTAGTTGTTGTATTCTGAGTCTTTTGCTCCATCTCAGGCCAATAATGCTGAGTCACCAGTATCAAGAGTTAATGAAAAGGGATAAACCATAATCTTTATTTCTAGCAAATCAAAGGTGGACTATTAGCCGTCCTACTCATAGCTCATGATTAAAGATAACCCTACTTTAATAGGCAAGGACTTCCATTTTCTGCAAGAAAATTATCCTTGAAAGGGGCTGAAACAGTCGATTTATTGATAACTAAGCACATTAAACAAGCATTAAGTTTTCAACCATTTATAAAAACAAACAAGAGTTGCACGCATAATAAACTAATGTTTTTCCTTTTTGTCCATTACTACAAACAATCTAACAAGGTGATTAACTTTGTGTCTCCGAAGTCAATCAAACAAGCCTTTCATGTCTTTATCAAGAGCCAGCTGTTCTTTTACCATTATACAAACATGTACTAATATTCCTTTTATTGGTGGTAAGTGGTTTTAATGTGGTCCCTTTGGACATGTCCAAATTCCAACCACCACTAAATGGGTTTATATCTTTCAAAACAAGCCAATTTTTGTATCTTCTCTGCCATTCAAGCCCTCCAATTATGCATCTAGAACAGGCCGTCAAGAAATGCCAAGAATAAATCAAATCAATCTTTATCAACGGCAAAAATGGAGTACTTGGAATTTGCTTCCAATCATTTGTTGCAATGTCTCCGCATCCTTGTGTAGGGATAGATTTGAGGCCAAGATAACAGAATTAGTGGACTAAAGGGCAGCACGCTTTGATGCCCCTCTCCACTTGGTTCACAATTATCTTAAAACAATATGAACTTATGATCCTATCTATATCTAGTGTTAAACCATATCTAGTTTCAAAGACATATTCTGCGGCATTATTGTTGCCTGATGAAAGGCTGACTTTGGGTCTAGAACAGAGACAACCACTCATAAATGCCCTCGTTAGAAATTGTCCCCTTTAGTTAAGGACTTCAGGCACCTTTTTTATCTCTCGGTCCATTCTAACATCATTCATTATCCAAGGTAGGAAGTACAATTAACTGTAGAATTAGCATTCCATTGTAAAACACTTTCCAGCTAAAAACTAGACTATTCACACGTTGCCCACTTTTGCTTTTGGTTTGCCCTGATTTAGAGAACTCCTATAAAGCATAGAAACAACGCAGACACCTTCAAACACAACACACACAGATCAGCAGAGTTATAGGATGACTTGCAGACTTGATCCCGTTGAATCATTGCATTATATTTACACAACTAGCCATCACGTTGAACTGACTTGTTTCAGCCTCGACTCCAAATGGCCGGTTTTCGACGACACGCCACAGAAAGCTCTTAACAATCAAGACTGACGCTCAGAATCCAGATACCCTCCATCCAGACATGCACATTTGAGTTTAACTGTTTTACAAAGTGTCTTCATGAAATGCAACAGGGGGAGTTGCAGGTCTTCCACAGGCTTGATTCATCTGTAAACGTGTACATTATCAAGGTAGCTTCTCATTATAAAACATTATCAGAGCTGAAGTTATTTAGGGGACCACAATTCTGAAACTTCTTCTTTCAATCCTTAACGAAAACTTGGTGTTTTTCTCGCAGCAAAACAATATGAGACCTGGTCTTCGGTCCAAATATGGCCACTCTGCAACAAGATAAGAAATGAAAGAAAAGATGTGCTCCTCTGACAGTTATCAGGGCTCAATTTTGGAGTGTATACAGCATGCTTGATGTCATCAGATTCAGATAAAGGTTCATAAAAAATGATATGACAAATTTTTAACGTTGTTGGCGGATATAAAATCACACCATAATAACAGGCAAAGAATCCAAAGAAAACTTAAAAGAGGAATACTACATAATTTCTAAATTTCGCAATACCATAGTAATATGTACAGTTGCCAGTAGATTGTGAACAAGAAGAATCAAAGAGAACAATAGATGATAAAAAAGAGAAGGCAAAATTGAATGTGAAACAAAAGATAAGCAAACACCTTTATATATACTAAAGCATATCTATAAACATACAGGATCACAGTACCATGGACTTTTTTCCTATCCATGTTCTAAAATTAGCCATATAACATTAGGGAGGCATCGACCCATCAACCACAATGGATCAGCCACCAAATATAAACCCAGTAGTTCTGTCTTCCTCTCCTTTGGGGCTGGAAGTCAGACGGGGTAGCCTTAAATGGGGTAGGGTCTGCAAAACTGAGTGAAACAGATCCCCACTGCTACTAAAGCTTCAAAAAAACTACACCAATCAAGTTCAGGAAAAAGGATATATAACAGTACACGTTCCGACCCAGCTAGATGCTGAACCACCTTCTGCACCCAATAACAGAGCCCAGTCGTTTCTGAAACTTGAAGAACCAGACCTCAGAGTAGCAGAATGCAACAACGTATAATCAATAAAACAGTAAGTAGTAAACTACACAATCATATAAACAGCAAACAACAGGTAATTAGCCAAGGAGGAATTGTCAAGCTTCAGTCAAGTATGGCTGCCAGTTCGTAAAGTTAACCCTATTAACAGTTAGGACTCACGAATTCACTTATCGCATCCATCACTGTGTGGAAGTGATTGTTATTGGGCAACAAGTAGAACCCTATTGTTGCCTGCTCCAGATATAGAAGTTTCACATCTTGACCAGCCTTCTTGAGACCTTCAGCATATGCCAATTGCCAGTCCTGAACAAGGTCCAAACCAGCCACCACAATAAGACTCTTGGGGAATTTCATTCCTTCAAGGCTTTTACCTTTTGGACCAAAAGGATTACATGCTGGATGGTCTCTATCTTCTCCTTCGGGAAGAAATGCTCTCCAGTACCAGTCTCGATCTTGGACAGTGACAAAATATTTGCCATCTAATCGCTTTTCTGATTCTGTTCTCTCTTGCCCACCAAACATTGGGTTCAGCAGTATGTTGCCCAACACTTCAATTCCTGATTCTACTGCTCTTGAAGCAACATGGTGAACAATGTTACCACCAGAGCTATCACCGGCCAAGTATATATGAACTTTAGAATCTTTCTTACTCTGGAGCCATGTCCTTGAATTAACCCACTTCAGAGCAGTCCATCCATCATCATAAGCACATGGATATCGATTTTCAGGAGCACGCCTGTAATTCACAGACACTACCACAGCCTTGCAAATGCCCACCAAGCGGCGACAAAGTGTATCATATATAGCACTATTTGCAGAAGAGTGGGCAAAGCTTCCACCATGAAAGAAGATTATGACAGGGACAACCTCCGAATTGACAGGCTTGTCAAGGTTAACAATAGTTGGTTGTGATTCTTGCACATCAGCCTGTCGATAGATCCGGCTAAGAAGGCTAGTCCCACGGTCAATGATAACATCAAATGAGAAAACCCCATCAACTGGATTCGCATTGGCAGGAATTTTACGGTCAAGGAACTCTGCCAAGTGGCGGTTGAAAGTACCATCAGGACGACGAAGAAGATTGTAAGCCAGCTTGAAATTTGATATGAGGACCCATGTATTCAGGGGTACCACCATCTGTGAGGAAAACAAACGATCAAAGTCTTCAATTTTTTCTTTCCGAATAGCAAAGTAGCAAGCCATAAACAAAAACTGGTGATATTTTCACAAACCCGCACTAGAAAAACCACCAACCAAGCAAGTACAGACTCTGAAAAACACACGAACAAGTAATAGATTTATCTATAAACCAAATCATATTCCCCAAACTAGATTGAAACAAAAACGAGGCAAGTTCAACGTTTAGATGACCAAAACAAAACTTCAAAACCAGAAATCAGATATTCAACAAGTAACAGAAACCTATCAACAAGCTACTGTTATATGATCTCAAAAACCAATAGAATCTCAAAACAAAAAAAGGCCCAAAACCCAAATACTAATCAACAAGCTTTCATTTTTAACAAAAACAAGAATACAAAGCCCCAAAATCTCAAACAATATGTAACCTACAGAATCCAAACTGCTTAAACATAAAACCCAAACCCACTTTCCTTCACCAACAAAATCAAAACCTCAAAACCAAAACCCCACCAAAAACATCTAAATTTCGCACCTAATCCAGCTGATTTTCAACTTCAAAACACCAAAGCACAATCAACACAAAAACCAATCAAATTTTGATCACCAAAAGACACCAATTTTGATCACCAAAAGAGCACAAAAATGAAGACAAAGGTGAGGAATAAAAAACAAGAGATACCTTGCTTTCATTGAGATTAACTTCATTACTTCCGGCCATGAAACTAATACTTCTTCTTCAAGACAATATCCAAAACAAAATCTAATAACTCAACTTAGATCCTTTTTAAAACCAACCCAATTGAAAACTCACTTCACATAGAGAAACCAAACACAAAATATTTGATCTTGTTAGCTCTAATCGCCATAACTTTCACTCATGATCAAAGCTTATAAAAGGCCAAAAAAATCGAATGGGTATCCTTTAAATTTGCAAAATTCACAAATTTTGAAAAGATAGAGATAGAGAGAGTGATGATGGTAGCAATAAATGGTAAATCTTAAGGGGAGAAGTAGAAATGTGTATGGGGTGAAGGATAAGGACAGGAGCGCATTAGAGCAATTTTGAGTAGGTGAATGGTAGAGTGCGCATTGGGCGTGAAGTTGGACTTGAGAGACGACAAAGCAAGCGGCCGAAAGGTAACTGTTGTTTGGGACCCGGTGATGTAAAAAATTAATTTTGAGTTTTGGAGTAATTATGACGCAATAAATATTAGTTAAAACAAAAGGAATAATTAGAAAGCAAAAAAAAAAAAATTAGTAAATGGGTGAGAAAGAAACAAAACAAAAGCTTATGTGCGTGCGGCCGGCGCCAAGGCACTGATGGACAAACGGGGTCCGTCTACAACTCTTTTTTGCGGTCCTGTAGTTGGTAATGGGTTTAGAATTGAGACTACGCAGTAGAGTTTTTTTTCCGTTTTTGGAAATGGCATATTCTGTATTTATATAATGAGAAATGTGTCTAATTTTTTTATATTTTAAAATGAATTAATTATTTTTTATATTAAGTGATTGTTCAATTTATCTTTAATGATTTTGTTTTTCTTGACAAAATCATCAAAAAAAAAAAAATCTTAAGATTTTACATAATTAATTTTATTTCGATGATATTTCTCTAGTAAGTAATCCGTCACTAATCTCTCTCTCCCACCTTAATCAAAACGGTCAACATCATTTCAAAACAACAAATCCTATTGTTTTTATTGTCACCCAACTAAAACATATGTAATTCATATAAAATCAAGTCTTCATCCATCAATCTACACTCCTAAATCTTAAAACTAATCCTTTCTACTTTCTCCTCGCCCATTTCCTTCTACCTTCTCCTTGCCTGTTTCTGCTCAAAATCAAGCACATGACTACCATCAAATTCGTATTTTCCTTACTTTGCTTTCATTCTCTAACCACTCACCACTTCAAACACCTTTTAATCATCAAAACTCGAGTCCGACACTACAAAACTATCTCTTTCTCTCAAAAATTACACTATAACTCCAAATATTAGTCATTTATGTGATGTGTATATGCTTATTCATTTAAGGATCATTTTTAGCACAAAATTAATCATGTATAAATTATGTGATTTTTTTTTATATTTTTGGAAAAAAAATTTAATAAAATGAAAGATTGGAAACTCGTTTAAAATATAAGGATATAATTGACTCGTTTTAGGATATAAGATAAATTGTATACTATTCTATTATCTAAAAAAGAATATATCACTTCTTCTTCTTCTTCTTTTCTTTTACAACATCTCTATAAAGTATAGATTGTAAAGCTAGCCTAAGATTAACTTAGTCTAGACATGTCATAACCCGATTTTGGGTTATATATTCCTCTAATTTTTATCCCTTTTAGTTTTTTATTTATCTTTTATTTTTATTTGTTTCTTTTGTTAATTTATTTAATTTTAGTATTCATTAAAAAAAAAAAAAGGATAAAAAATACAAGAAATATAAAAATATAAAAAAATTCAAAAAATATATGTGACATAATTAATTAGGGACATGATTGAATGTATTCATGATTGAAATTGAAACAATTAAAGATATAATTGAAATTAATGAAAACCCTAAGACAAAGTTAAAAGATACAAAGGTCTAATTGAGAAAACTGAAAGAAACAGAGACCAAGATTGCATATCAAAAGTGTATAATTATGAACAATAAAAAGGCATGAGAGGCTGAGTTAAAACTAAGGAGTGGATGACAAGACCAAAGTTGAGTGAACCACTTGTCATTTATCTTAACCTATAATCAATTTCTAGGCTTGTTTATCATCTTCCTTGTAGATAAATTTTTTCAATTTTATTTCATTTGATTATTTGATTCTTGGCTAGCAATTGTACCAACCAAAAATCATGCTTGCATTTATGCATTCACTTGCACCACTACACCACTACCGCACCACCACTATACCTTCGTCCTTCAACCATAGTGTGTACATATAGCTAAGAACACCATAAGCATAGTCTTCGACTCTATCGATAGATGATTTCAATCGAATGAAGATTGATCCTAGGGTGGGGATTGGTTCAAGTTCGATTATAAATAGGGGTGCAATGGAGCTTTAGGTAGAGGAGATCGAAGGGAGGATTCTAGTTTGAATGATTTTGGGTTATTTAAATAAGAACAATATGGGTTTAGGGAGGGAAGACTAAAAGGAGATCGGTTAGGGTTTTGAGAGAACTTTCGAGAGGATTTTTGGTTTTGAGGAGGAGATTCCGCGTTCATAAAACAACAAAAGAGGATTGAAGGGAGAGAGGAGAGTTGTTCTAAGTTCATAGCTTTTAGGTTTCTTGCTTTGATTTTTTGGGTTTCAAGAACACCGAAACTAAGCTCTTCAAGCAATTTCCCAGTCATCAACCACCACAATAACATATTCCCCAATTTCCGGTCCTAGGTGCGTTCCAAACCACTCCTAAATCCTAAAATCAATAACAACGCACTTAGTCCTTAGGCCATAGTCCTTCAATCACTTGTAAATCATCAACAACAATAAAACCGTGTCCCGAGACTCATCATTCATTCCTTCCTTTTCGTTCGGGTAAGTTTAATCCCATCCTCGTTTAATTTTTTTTCATATCCCATGTTAAGATTTGGGTTCAAGTCTTAAAGATGTTATATGGCTATGACATGGTCATCGCCATAGCGAGCTCCTATTGCTCAACTTCATTAGATCGTCAATGATAAGAAAAAAAGTTAGTTAGTTGTTGGTCTCATAGAAAGCAAGTCCTTTTGATAGGGATTTCTATGTAAGACATAAAAAGAGGTAGGAATGAGGGAACTCCAATAAAGAAGAATGAGAGAAAGAAAGGGAAAAGGAGAAGGAAAAAAAGAAGAGAAGGTAGATCGGCGTTGGATTAGGCCTAGCACGGTTCGAAAAAGAAAAATAGAATAGAAGGAGAAGAGAAAATGTTCGAGGTATAGCCTAGCCCCGAGAAGGAAAAAGAAAAAGAAAAAGAAAAGAAAAGGACTCTAATGGGCTCGACTAGCCCGATAGGTCCACCTAGTTAACCCGACCCAATGGGCTCAATAACCCATTCCTTAGGCAAATCGAGTCTTGAAATTTTTTAAATACATGTCTTTAATTGTATTCCTAGTTTAGATTCAATGTTTTAAAATTCTAAGTTCTTATATTTATTTATTTAATCAATGTTTAATTTTGAAGTTTTATTTTGATAATTAGATGAGATAATTAATAGATAGACGAGTCGTCGAGTCTCTTAATTTTTAAAGGCCGATTATGACTCCTCGTTAATAAAAAAATATAAAAAAATGATAAAGAAAAGAAAAGAAAATGATAAAAAAGGGGAATGAAAACGATAAAGAAAAAAAAGAAGGAGATGAAGAGAAAGAGAGAATGTTAGGTAAAAAGTAAAACTAAAAATAAAAAAAGGAAGAAAAAGAAAAAATTAATATAAAATATTATGTGAAAAATTAACAAAGTCTCTTGTCTAGTAGAAACTAATGTTAGCTCAAATCAATCATATTTTAGGAATTAGATTATTTTCTCATATATCGGTTATGTCGAGACTTAAACTAGATCCGATGTTAAATTAAAGAGACGCCCAACGGATGGGTTCGATTTGTAGGTTTAATATGATGCCACAAATAAAATCAAAAAAATTAATTTGATTTAGAAAATAAAACTTGGATTTTTGACTTAGAATTGATCATGGCAAGAATAGAGATTTTTAGAAGATAAATTTTAGGACTAAGCTAGACGTGATACCTTTCATAGAAAACGATGTCTTTTAGTTATTGATATATTTCAAAAAATATAACTAAATCCTTATCCATGAATCTCCGAACTAGTGTATGTTTTAGATTCTTAATTACTTTTAATACTATGTGATAACTCCGAAATTAATAATAACTCACATCCCTAAATAAACAAAAAATTTAATAAATAAACTTAAATAAATTTTTGAAAGTCTCGTGAACGTCGAGTAGCGACAATACATACAAGATATTTAATTTTTTATTAGCTTTTATAATTTAATAGAAAATTGACTATGAGAAAATATGTGAGTTCTATTGAAATTTTGTCTCCAATGAAGGTGGATATTTGCAAAAGATTGTTAATTATCTACAAAAGATACATATGTGATTATACAAGCTAGAAGGAGCTTGTGTGGATTTTCATTGTTATCCCTGTCCAACTTGAGACTTGTATTAGCTATTGATTTGACATATTGATAGTCTAATCGATAGGTTATATTTATAATGTAGAATAACTAGTTTTTTTTTTTTTCCCGCACTACACTGGGGATCGAATATAATATATAAAATTATTTTAAAAAAATTATTTTAGTTTGATGTTCCGTATTATATTGTGCATATACCAAAACATATCAAATAAAAAATGAATACAAATTTATTTATTTTTATAATTTTTAATCAAAATTTTGGATTTGACTGATTATTCATTATATTTTTCATAAATTTTTGAAATATTATTTATTTATCTCTATCCATAAACTAAAAAATTCATAATTGTATAAAAAACATCAAAATCAATGGATTCTTAACTAAAAATTTATTTTATAAATTATTTTTTTCTAAATATTTGTTTACTTTAAAATTTTTAATTAAAAGAATAGAGAAAAAAAACGAACTAAAGTAATCAAAATGAAACAAAAAAGAGGGACAAAGATGAACAAAAATTATCTATGGACTAAAAAATAATATTTAAAAAAGACAGATTAAGGTATAATGT